CTTCCAACATCCACTCCAACTGATGCTAACAGTATCCCGACTCCAACAATGTCATGTATTCTCCACCGCTGCTCGGTTCGCGCCCTCCCTGACAGAAAGCAGCGCCACCGTGTTCAGGAGCTGGGCAGCGACTTCAGCGACTTCTTGTGATGCTTGTGGATGGCCTGGAGCTCGTGGTAGAAATCCAAGAGGGCCTTGTACGGGGACGCTGCCTGGGCGACGACGACGACCACGACGACGACGACGACGACGACGACGACGAGGGCGACGACGACGACGACGACGACGACGACGACAACGACGACGGGGGCGAGGACGACGACGACAACGACGACGACGACGACGACAGCGGCGACGATGACGACGACGACGACGACGACGACGACGACGACGACGACGACGACGACGATAACGACGACGACGCAGACGACGACGACGACGACGACGACGACGACGACGACAGCGGCGACGACGACGACGACGGCGACAAAGGTCGAGAGAGGACCGCTGCCTGTTTCAAGGCGTCTCGCACTGCTGACCGCCGCAACTCCTCCGGGGGGGTCACGAGCATCTCCTCGATGGTGTTCTGGCTGGCCACGACGCCCTTTCGAGGTTTCGCTGGGCGCCTCATCCCTGCCCCCCTCCCTGCGGTGCACCCTGCTGTCCCCTCGCATGCGAGCGTGCCCCCTCCTGCCCGAGATCTCACGTGTTCTCGCGCGCTACGAAGTCTCTATGAAAGCCAAACTTGACCACGTGCTCAAAACTTCATCCACGTGCTCAAAACTTGTGCGTTATAGAGCGCTTGCCTTGCAGAGCTCCATGCCGCGCCTCCCGATGTCCACCGAGCTCTGGGTGGCGCGCGCCTGCACCAAGTCCTTGCCCATATGTTTGATGGCGAGGGTAGTGCGCGAGACTGCATCGAACGATTCCTGGAGCAACTGCATGTCCTCGGGCGTGGCAGGGCCATCGGCGCAGACGGCCGCGGGCTTGTCGCGGGAGCTGCCAGCGCCGGAGCCATCATCGAGCATCCACTTGTCGGAGGAGCGGGCGGATTCCATGCGCTCGAAGAAGGCCATCATACATTTCTCGTCAACCTTCGCTGCTTGGCACGCCCCTCCCTGCATTGGCCGTTGCCCCATCCGCTTCCTTCCCCCCGCTCGTCCCTCCCCTCCTCCTCGTCGTCGTCGTCGTTGTCGTCGTCGTCGTTTTCCCCTCCTCCACTCTCTATCATTCCCACTCGAACTCCCAATCCTCGTCGCGTTGCTACTCGTGCTCTTGCGCTTATTCCTGCCCAGGCAACTGCGTGGCAATGCTCCTGACCATGCTCCGCCCCCCTCCGCGTGCCAATTTTCCTGACCCCCCTGGGCACCAGCGCTGTGGTCTGGCCGTGGGTGGCCTCCTCGTGCATGTCCTTCTTCTCGTCGACAGTGTCCATCACGCGGTACTTGCCAGTCTTCTCGTTGAACACCACCTGCTTTGCATCCAGCGCCTCCTTGAAGAGCGCCTTGCTGCCAGCGAAGCGGGTGCCAATCGTGACCAATTCATCCATGCCAACATTCAGAGAACCTGTCGACTTGCTGGTGGTATGGCGAGCAATTTTCGTGAGGGTGTGCTCCTTATTTTTGATCGCGCCAGCAAACGTAACATGTCGAGGGACAACTTCATTGATCAATGCGTAGATGGCTTTCTCCTTGCCCCTGCTCGTGGATTCTTTCAGCTCGCTGTATTTCTTCTGCGCTGATTCATCGAGCATGTCCAAGTTCCTATGAAATACAGCCCTCTGGGCGCGGGAGACCATGCGTTCATCAGGCACACCGTCCTCCGCGTCGACCGCGTCGTCGCCCTCGTTCACATTAGGCGCACCTGCACGCGCCTTGGTCTTGGGCGCAGCTGGCGGGGAAGCCTTGCTGGCGCATTTAGCCGTCGGCGTCTGCGCGGGGGTCGGCGGGCTCTCGTCGCCACTCGGCTGCGTGTCCTCCTGCTTCACTGCGGGGGCCAGCGCGCTGTCCATGTCCGCGCCTGCTGCCATCGCGAGCAAGCCCGCGCCCGCCTTCGCCTTGGCCTTTTTGGACACCCAAAAGTGGGCACCGAAAGAATGGACTCAATGCCCAACAACAAATGCTGTCCGAAACCAACAGCGGCCGCTGTTGGGCAGGCGGCCTTCTGTCTCGAATGGGCACACGCCGCGGCGGCGCGGGCAGCGAATTCTGTCCAGAATAAACAGGAACTGCTGTTGGGCATCATACCCATTCTGTCCGCGCCCATCTCGGGCGCCCAGAGCCTTCGCCTTAAGCGGGGCCTCCTCACCCGCCGCCGCCAGCCTCCGCTTCGGCCCCATTGCCCCCCCCGCAAGCGCGAGCAGCGCCAACGCACCGAGCTTGAGCATCATCCGCCTCCCCCCTGCGCTCCTTCACATCGCTGCCCTTCCGCCCGCCCCGTTTCGTCCGCCCCCGTGTTTCGTCGTCCCGCTGATGCCAGGCTGCCCCCCCCCCGCCGCAGAATTCGGGGACCTCCCTGCTCCTAGAAAATCGAGTCGCTTCTTTTCTTCACATTTTTCGGCCCCCAGTGACCCCCCACGACCCTCGGGGATCTCGCAGGTCTTTCGGGCCGACCGCGGGCCAGGGTCCAAGGCGGCGCGCGCCGTGCCAATTTCCTCGTCCTCATTCCCCTTCCCCCCTCTTCCCCTCTCTTCTCCTCCTGTCCTCCTTTCCCTCCTCCTTCCTTCTCCTCCTCGCCTTTTTCCTCCTCCCTCCTCCCTCCCCCTCCCTCCCTCCTCCCCCTCCTCCCCTCCTCACCCCCCCCCCTCCCCCTCCCTCCTCCCCCTCCCCTCCTCCACCGCCCCTTCCTTCTCCTCCTCCCGCCTGTTCTCTCTCCTCCTCCTCCTCTCTCCTTTTCCTCCTCCTTTCATCCTCCCCCTCCTCCTCCTCCTCCCCCCCTTCCTCCTCCTCCCCCCTCCTCCTCCTCCCCTCTTCTCCTCCTCCTCCTCCCTTCCTTTTTGTCCTCGCCCCTCGTCCCCCTCCCCCTCCCCTCTGCGATTCCCCCTCCTTATCCTTTTTGTTTTGCCTCGTGTGACGCTGCCCCTCCCCGCGCATCCACTCGTCCTTTTCCGTTCGACCGCCGTTCTTTCTAGTGGTATCCACTCATGCTTCACTCATGCCCCATGCTCGTGACAACTGCCTTTACTCATGCTGCAATCATGCTGCATGCTCATGCCCACGCGCACTACCCTTGTTCATGACCCCATGCTCCATGCATATGCAAACTGCAAGTGCTCGAACTAACTACTTACTTGTGCCGAATGCCCCTGCTCATGCCTTCGGAAACGCCGCAAACTGCACTGCTTATGCCGCAACCGCCATTCCTGCCCCTTACTACTTCCACTCCTGCCCTCGCTCGTAGCCGCTGCTACTGCTACTGAACATGCCACTGCTACTGCTACTGCTCATGCCACTGCTACTGCTACTGCTCATGCCACTGCTACTGCCCATGCCACTGCTACTGATCATGCTACTGCTACTGCCCATGCCACTGCTACTGCTATTGCTCATGCCACTGCTACTGCTCATGCCATTGCTACTGCTCATGCCACTGCTACTGCTCATGCCACTGCTACTGCTACTGCTACTGCTCATGCCACTGCTACTGCTACTGTTCATGCCATTGCTACTGATACTGCTCATGCTACTGCTCATGCCACTGCTACTGCTACTGCTACTGCTCATGCCACTGCTACTGCATGCTGTTTCCACTCCTGCGCATGCCTCTGCTACTGCTACTGCTCATGCCACTGCTGCTGTTACCACTTTGCCACTGCTACTGCTACTGCTGATGCCACTTGCTGTTTCTGTACATTTCACCGCAATATTCCTGTAACTCGTCCACGACAATCATCGAACCAGCCCTTATCCCAGACAAACTAAGTTAAGGGCGAACTTAAGTTCACTAAGTTAAAGGTAAAGGCGCCCAAAACTAAGTTAAATTCTGAAGGGAAAAAACTAAGTTAAGTTATTTTACCCACAAGAACACTAACATAGTTTTCTGAGGGTGGCCGATCCTTGGGGCTGTCCGCCAGAGGTCGCCGTTGTCGCCGGCCCCGTGGCCCCCCTCCTCACGGCGGCACCTCCAACCCTTGAAGGTGATCTCACTATCATCGGGCCCTCCGTGGGCCCCCGGGCTGCTGATGAGCGCCCGCAGCTCGCTCCCGTTGTCGGTCTGCCTGCTGCCGGGCAGCGCCCCGAACTTGGCCGCGCGGACGGGGGGGCCATGCGCGTGGTTCGTCGTGTCCAACACTGCCCATCCCCAGCCGCACCTCCTGTAACTGTCATCCGCGCTGCGCTCGCCTGCTGGGCCGTCGCCGAAGACCGCGATGGGCCCCCCCTGGGCCCCTCGCAGCCTCTCGCCCAGCATGCGCCCACCCGCCAGCGACGCCGGTTTCTGCGTGCGCCGCGGCGGCGGCGCCGTCCGCGCCTTGGGCGCGGGCCCCCATGGCCAGGAGATGGGCGCGCTGCTCGCCGCCCTCTTCGCGCGCTCCTCCAGCCCCCTGCGGCCTTGCAAGGATGGCCTTCTCCTGTCTCTTCCCACGGTCGCCCCCGACGCGGCGCAGGTCACCCCCCTCCGCGTAGCGCTCGCACATGCAGCCCGTCTCGCCGAACTCCCTGCGCCCCCTTGCTTTCGGCCATGTGCCCGCGCAAGCTGCGGCCAAGAGCCCTCCGCACAACTGACGCTCGCCCATTTTCCTCAGAGCCTCCAGGTGCCGCTCGGCATCCCGCTCGTCGACGCCCTGCTCGGCCCCTCTACCGTCGCGGTGCTTCGCCGCAGCCACCCACAGCAACGACTGCGCGTCCTCGAGCAGCGCCTCCACGGTGTCGCGCGGGTCTCCTGCCTTCTCGCCCTCTGGGAACTTTCAGTGGCCTCCTTGCCTGTCGATCCAGTCGTCTAGGCCTCTGGTGTCCCAGCCGAGCTCCCGCGGGAGGGGGATGATGCTGCCCATCACTCCTCGCCTCTGGCTGCGCCTGCAGCCTGAAGTAGACCTTCGCCCAGGCTTTCCTGATCAGCGGCCTCTGGTCCGCGCTCTTGTCCCGGAGGTTGAACCATGCCCGCAGCTGCCGCCTCGCGATCGAGATGGCTGGGCCTTCTCCCTCCAGCGCCAGGGAGCCCGTCAGGCACCTGCCTGGCCAGGCCCTTCTCAGCGCCTGCGCGCGCCTCCTTCTGGCCGCCTTCATCGCCGTCGGCGCCAGCCCATGCGTCACGGCGCCGTACATGAGCGACGCAACTGGGCCCTGGCGCACCACCCCCTTTCTCCCGCGCAGCCTGAGCACCCCCGACTTGGCCCCTACTGCGCCCGACCTCCTGCCTGCTGCATTCGCCCTCCCCGCGTGGGCGGGCCCTCTCGGTCGCCCCTCGCGCCGCCCTGTCGCCCCCAAAGTCTCCGCCATCTGCGACCGCCTTCACCTCGACGCCCGGCCTCCTCAGCGCCAGCTGCAACTGCCTAGCGGTGCGGAAGCTCGTGCTGAAAATGACCGACCTGTCTGCCAGCTTCAGCCCGTGCGACTCCAGCCCGTCCTGCAGGGCCTTCGCGGTCACGACGAGCTGCCTTTTCACTCCGGACTCGCTGCGCATGATGCGGATGCTGATGTCGTAGAACCAGGCTCTGGCCAGGGGGCACGGCACACCGCTGGCCTCGCCCATCGCGTAGCCCAGCACCGCGCGCACCGCCGCCCTGGCGATGTTGTTGGAGTAATGCGAGCCCGCCAGGATGGAGCGGTCGGCACACTGCGGCTCCGAGCAGCTCCTCCCCCACCTCACGAACCTCGCGCTCGAGTGCTGGAGCAGCAGCATCAGCAGGGTCCCGGGGCTGAAGTCCATGCCGAGCGCCGCGGGGATGGGCGCGTCGATCCTCGAGCTGTCGTAAAACTAATGGATGTCAGCTAGCACGCACCCCTGGAAGACGCCCAGCGTGTCGCAGCACTCGCCCATGACGATCCTCTGCGTTGATTCGCGCAAGCAGCTGTTGCCTGCGACCGCTGCACCCCATGGGCGCCCCTGCCTCTCGGCCCATTGCCTGACGGCAGGCGTGTGCAGCAGCTCTCAGGCGCGCGCCGGTCGCGGCAACAACGCCTGCGCCCTGTCTGCCCTGATCGGCTTCGGGGCCAGCATCACCGCCGCGCACAGCAGCTGCCACGGCCAGGCCAGCCTCTTCTCGCTCTCGTTGAAGAGGTCGACTATCTGCTGCCTGCCTGCCGCTGGAAGCCGCCTCAGATCGCCGCGATGCAGGCGGTCGACCCCTTGCCCTCTGTCTGGTTCGCCCTGGAGTAGCCTGTCGAGGACCTCCAGCTCCCAGCATGGCTCCTCCGTCTCCTGTGCTTTCCTCCTCCGCGCCTCCAGCACCTGCAAGCGCGCGCTGTGGGCCAATCCTTCGCAGTTCCATAGCCTCGCAAAGTCCCTCGCCTTCGCGTTCACTCTCCTTCGAGCAGTTTGCGATGCCCCCCCCCCGCGTGGATCCCGTCTTCTCTTCTGCTCGGTGGCTTCGTGATCCGATGAAACACTCCAGGCTGGAACTCCGTGTCCGCTGGCCACTTGCAGAAGTTTCTCGCGCTGGCCCACACGTCGCTGCGCGCCGCCCTCTGCCACCCCCCCCCCCCCCGCCCCCCCCCCCCCCCCCCCCCCCCCCCCGCCTGCAACGCCGTGCCCTGCGCGATTCCTGCCCCCAGCGCGTCCATCGACTGGGGCCGCTGCCTCCACAGCCTACGGTGTAACCTCGCCGTCTCCATGGGCTCTCCCTGCAGCCTTGGCATCCCTCTGTGTGCCAGGTGTCTGGCTGCGCGCGCCAATGCCTCCTGCCGCGCCCGGCCCGCCCCGCGCTCTTTCAGCTTGGCCATCAGGGAGAGCACCGTCCCAGCCCGCGCACTCCGGGCAGCTTGCAGGTCGTCGCATTGCACTCTCCTCTCCTCTCGCTACCTATTACAGCCCTCCTTGAGCTGGTAGCCTCTTCCTCGTCCTGCGAAGCGCTGCCTGTCGCGAGGGCCAACGCGGTGGGCCATGCAAAAGAACTGCTCCAAAGTGTCCATGGCCCCTCGCGTTGCCTTCCAAACTGCTCCGCTGCGACCGAGTCGACCTCGTAGTCTGCGCGCTCCCTGATGCAGCTAGGCGCCTCGGCCTGCCTGCCCCCTCCGGTCGCCGTTCTGGCCGTCTCCCACATGTCCCCCAGCAGCGTGTGTTGTCGACGCCCGAGGCTCCTGCTCGCAGCATCTCAACCTTCTCCTCAATCCTCGGCCCCGCAGCATCACCTCCAAGCTCTTTCTCCTCACGGGGGGAGTCGCCTCCCAGCGACCCCTCCGTCTGCGGCTCCTCCGCGTTCAGAGCGCCCTCCTCCTTCGCTTCGCCTCCTCTCGGTTCGGCCCCGTTTTCCCGGCTGCTCTCGGCTTTCCTCTTCGCCGAGGTAGCTCTCCAGCTGCGCGGAAGGGCCCCCTCCTCTGCATCGAGTCCCTGTAGAACTTTACCCGGGCAATGGTGGCGGTCGGGGTTGACGTCCTGCCTCAACTTCACGATGGCAGGCGCAATCAGTGGCCGCCCTGACCCCCCGCCCCCGCCGCCGCCTCCTGCGGGGGGCGCGGGGCCTCCTCCATGGCCCCCTCCCCCCTGACGGCCTGCGCAGCCAGCAGTTTGGCCCTCGCCAACAGCGCGCCGCCCCTCGCAGGCCGGTGCCGGCCCCCATCCTCCGCCAGGGAAGCCCTGCCACCCGCGCGGGGCAAGCGCCTCCCACTTCTCGTTGTTCAGCCTCGCTCCATCCTCGGCGTGGCTCCTTCCAGTCGCCTCTCTGCTGCTTTCGCCTTCTCCTCTGGCGCCCGCGCCTGTTTGCGCTGCAGCCTCTGCCTCGCCCTCTTGCTCCTCGGGCCCGGCGGCGGCGGCGGCCTCGGCGGTTGGGGGGGGGGCTCGCGACGTCGCCGGCCTCCTGCGCGCCGTGGCCCGCGCCTCTCTCCGCAGTGTCACCTTCGAGCTGACGCGCGGCTTCCGCGGGGCGTCGCGCGCCGCCTTGACGCCCATCGCGAGATCCACGCCCTGCGAAATGGCCATCGCGAAATCAATGTTCGAATGGCCCTGGCCCAGGAAGCAGGCGCAGCGCCCGTCGGGCACGGCGATGAGGGGCGCCGCGCCCATCATCTGCGGCCAGCCAGAGTCCTCGAAAACCTGCGACTCTACGTCGCGCCCCCATTGATGGTGCGCAAGGAAGCCGCCAGCCCTGTGAGCTTCCTGCCGTCGATGCCCTCCTTTAGCGGCTGCCCGCAGTCAAGGTCGAGGCTGGCCATTGCCCTTCAAGTCCAGACCTAGAAGCTCCATGCAGCCGCTTGCTGCCGTCGTCGCCCTCGAGACCTGGGCGCTGTCCGCCACCCGGTTCCTGAAGGTGGAGGCTCGCAAGTGACCCCTCATCACCATCGCAGCGCCCCCTGATGTTCCCGAAGCCGCGAAGCACGCCCTGTAGCCCATCTTCGCATGACCGTACTCCGTCTGCCCCAGCGCCGCCTCCGCCACGTGCGTCTCCTGGAACGCGTGGGCGGCGTGGCCCTGGCGCAGCGACTGCTGCCCCATCCACAGGTTGGCTGCGGGCTCCCAGGTTGTGAGGTTCGCGGAAAAGTGCGCGCGCTCTCGAGGCCCGCCGCGCCCTCTTCTTTTACGGCGGGCCTCGCGCGGTTGGCGTCAAGAGCCCGCCCCCGCGCTCGGGGACGCGGGCCATTTGCCCTCGCCCTTCGCGCGCCTCCCCTGCAGGCATTCCTCAGCTCCTTCTGGCTGCGCCGCTCCTGCTGCGCTGCCACTAGCTGGTCCTCCTGGCGGGCTGAGCCTGCTGCCGCTGCCCCCCCGCCGCCTGCTCCATCTGTTCCTCCGCCTTCGCCGCCTCCACGCGTGCTGCCTTGCGCGATCACCGCCTTCGACTCTTGTGCCTTGGCCTTGGCTTGCCCCAAGTGCTGGCGCAGCTGGCCCGAGAAGGCCTGGGCGTTGGCCTTCATCTGTGCCACCACCTGCTCCTCCGTCGCCGTTACCTCCCTCTTGGCCTCCTCGTCTAGGTCTTCCTCATCCAGGTCCAGCTCCTTGGCAAGGTCCGCCATCAGCTGGCCCTCCGTCAGCTCGTCCATCCGGCCGCTGGCGAGCTGCTCCACTATCCCCTTGGCGGCCCCCTTTTACCTCCCTTTGGGTCGCCTCGATGAGCTTCTCCGCTGCCAGCACATCGTCCGCCTTCGCCTCCACGCGGGCTGCCGCCTTCGCCGCCCTCTCGTTTGCGATTCTTTTCTCGCGGAGGGCGTCATCGAAGTGCCTGCTCGCCGTGTCCAACGCCCTTGCTGCCGCCGCCACACGCACCGCCTTGGACGGCATGGCCTTGGGCGGGCTGGCCACCTGCAGCGCCGCGGCGGCACCCGCGAGCTGCTGACGGATCTGCTTTCCGTTGACCAGCTCCATGGTGCCGATGGTGATGGTCACCGGCTGCAGCGCCTTGGCGGGCTCATCCGCTCCCTTGCCCTTCTCTGGGCAACTCTGGATTCCTGCTGCCTTCGGCCGTCCTTGCCCGCACTGGGTCCCCATTGGTTGGCGTTGCTCGCCGCCGCGTTGGGTCCCCAGGTCTTGCCCGCTCCTGGCAGTTGTTGCCCGCAGCTGTAGGTGTAGCGCAATGATGAGGAGGAGGAGGAGGAGGAGGAGGAGGAGGAGGAGGAGGAGAAGGAGGAGGAGGAGGAGGAGGAGGAGGAGGAGGAAGAAAAGGGGGAGGAGGAGCAAGAGGAGGAGGAGGAGGAAGAGGAGGAGGAGGAAAGGGAGGAGGAGGAGGAGCAAGAGGAGGAGGACGAGGAGGAGGAGGAGGAGGAGGAGGAAAAGGGGAGGAACAAATCCGCACGTGCCTGGACGCGGTGTGCGATCAGGATTTTGCGGGCAATCGATGGCTGGCGCCTCCCCGATGAGCCTGTGCCGCAGTGACGTTGCCCCTGATTTTCCCCACCCCACACCAGAAGCAACACCAGACAGGAGACGAACGACGGACAGCAAACGGAACGACGGAGGCTAGTCTGGCCTTTCCTCAACATGTATGCGCGCACCAAAGCCGCCCTTCCTCCGCACACCCCCTCTGCGCGACGAGGGGAGGGGGAAGGTGGAAGCGGATATATATATATAGAGAGAGAGAGAGAGGGAGAGAAAGAGAGAGAGGGAGAGAGAGAGAGGAGAGAGAGAGAGAAACAAAACAAAAAACATCTTTCTCTCTCTGCCATGTACCTCTTTATGGGTATGCAGCCCACTCTCCACCATGACCGGCCGACTAGCGGGTCGATCCAGGTGATTTCCGTACCACCCGCAAAAACATGGAACTGGAAACAATCCGTCCCCTCCCCCCAAAGTCCCCCCCCCCCCTTCCCGAACCCTCCCGCCCCCAGGCGGGGGGGGATGTTTCACCCCCCTCCCCCCAGCGCGGCGCCGGCGGCCGCAGCAGCGCGACGGCCAGGGACGCAAGCGACGATGACCAGAGGAGCCCAAGGGGGGGGGCATTCCCCCCCCCCTGGCGCCGAGGTATTTAGGGTTCATAAAACGCCCCCCCCCCATTGGCGCCCGCGCCGGCGCTGGCGGCCAGCAGCGCCGGCGCTGGCGCCGGCGACGGCGGAGACGCAGCGACGATAACCACCACGACCACCACCACCAGCACCACTACCACCACCACCGCCACCAACCGCCGCTTCAACCCACAACCACCACCACCAACCCACCACACAACCACCACCACTACAGCCACCACCACCACAACCACCACCACCACAACTCATTATCACCACCACCACAACCACCACAACAACCCACCACCACGACCACCACCACCACCACCACAAATCTACCACGCCAAAACCACCAACGCACACCACCACCGTTACCTGCAGCACATTCCC